GAGTAGCCCGAAGCTTAATATAGCACTCTAATGCTTCTCAATTTTCCGGTGTGGGACATTTAACACTTCATTCTCAAGGTTAGACTTCCATGGCCCCTATTTGTCATTCAAACTTTTAGATTTTTACATTTCTTCATTTCTAAGCTTCTGCTAATGTTCCGGTAAATCTGAATCATCCACTTCATTTGGTATATAATTGCATTTAGGAACTTGTACAAAATGTTACGAAAGATTTCTGCATTCAGAGTGTTTCATCCTGAACCATGAAATGAATGAGAAAAAGACCACATTTCTTAGATTTTTTTTATCAGAATCTTTCTTAAGTAATATTAAATCACTCATTTGTTCAATCTCTTATGTATGTGCTACCAACAATCAGCCGCTGACCTAACAGAGTTGCATCCTATTAACAGAGTTTCCGTTTCATTTGCAGGTGAAATAGAATATCACGTTACTCGGGAAATCATAAAGGACCAACATAACATTGACATGCAAAAAAACATGTCTACATTGACACAGGCTGGTGTAAGTGAGATAACTTTGGCTTAAATATACTCCGTATTTGATTTTTCATTTTCTCTCCTGTGTTAACATTCCACTGCAAGCTACAATCAATTTATGTATTTTCCCATTGATTGGCTTACCTGATACCTCACAAAGTATCATGCCCTAAATAAACATTGGTTGTTTTTCTAATTACACTCAAATTTTTTATTTAGTGATTTCTTCTACACGTGTTTATAACATATTAGCTACATACTTGCTATATATGTAAACAAATCTTAATTATTCAAGAAGGTGCTACTACTTAGGGAGTGTTTGCAACAGCTTCTGCTTTAAAAAAAGCACTTTTGGAGTGATTTGGAAAAAGTGATTATTTGTAAAAGTTGATAGTGTTTGAGAAAAAAGTGATTTTGAAAAGTAAAAGTTGGTAGTGTTTGGTAAAATAAGTGCTTTTGGTGTATAAAAAGTGGAAAAGCACTTTTGACACGAAAGCCGAGAAAAATAAAAAATTGGTAGTGTTTGGTAAATAAGTGCTTTTTTAAGCCAAAAGCTGAGAAGTGCTTTTTTTAAAGTGGTTGCAAACCAGCCTTTATTGTCATACTATTGAAAAGTAAATCGCCATATTTTTTAGGGTGAATTCTCTTATACGTGATTTTCGTGACATGCATGAGCGAAGTAACGTTCTAAATTTTAACTCATACGGCGTTTACTCGGGTACTATTTATTTTTCGGATGAATACCAATAAATCATTTAATTAATTTATATTTTATTTATATTTTAAATGCTATTTTTTATTTTTCACCTTGGCCCCCTCGGGTCATATCCTGGCTCCGCCCCTGAATATTTGACCATGTTCCGAATGAAACAATGTAAAAGTTTGAAAATATGAAACAGCCCAGAAGAGTTGAACTTTCTTGTAAAATGGTTTTAGATATATTAGGTTAATTCGAATGTTTTGGGATGTTTTTACTTGGACTGAAAGTTGTTAGTCTGGTATATTTAAGTCTGGTTTGAGCAGAAAATAGTCCAAGTAAAAACATCTTTATTATGAACTCATTTTACAAATTTTCTATCTATTATTTTCTGTTTTCAGCTTCTGATTTTTCATTTTCAAATCTGAAAACATGTTCATCTATTTTTTTTCACCCGGTTCTGTGACGTACTGGAAGACCGAAATTACGGTCCCGATTTGGAACCGAACATAGTCAGGCCCAAGAAAGGATGATATGATGCAGAATCTGGGCTTGGAAGAAGAGTAAGCCCCCGTGGGTTTACCGAAGGCGGGACGGACTTGAGCCCACCTTCGTGGGCTGGTTGTGGGCTGTTTAATTATTATTTATTCTTTTTATTTTTCCTGATTTGTTTTCTTTTGGAGTTAATTAGGATTTCTATTATTTCTTTCCTATTTGAAGTTGATTAGGATATTTATTATTCTGTTTCCTAGTTGGAGTTGATTAGGATCTCTAGGATTTTGTTTTCTAGTTTAAGAGTTAGTAGATGGGTATTTAAACCCCTTGTCAGGATTCATTCTTGATCATCTTGGAATAAAATTGGTTTTAGCCTTTAGGCTCTGGGCAACGGTATTTTTACTGTTGATTATCGGGCAACGGTTTACCCTGCTGATTTTATTTTTTTTGTTCACAACAAAAGAACCCGGTCCCGGGTATAGGAAAGTCGGGACCAAAACCAGCCGGTTCCAGTTTGTCCCAATAGCTAGTTTGATTAATTGATTTTGCTTTTCCCTATTGGTTGGCAACTCAATGACTCTTTTGAAACTCTTCACTTTAACAAAATATTTAAATGGTCGGGTCATCGACCGGGCTGGACAGGTACCACTGGGTCATTAACGGGACCGGCCAGGGACAGCCCGATAATCGATCAGACCGGAAAAAGACTATCAAGTCATTGACCGAACAAGACGTGGACCACCATGTCATTGACCGGACTAGACAGGGACCACCGGATCATTGACCCGACCAGATAGGGACCATCGGGTTGCTGACCCGACCAAACAGGGACGGTCAGGTTGTTGACCGGACCTGACCGGGCTGCCCACCTATCGATCAGACCAGACTGGGATTGCCCGGTCGTCGATCAGACCCAACAAGTACCCCCGGGTCATTGATCAGACATGACAAGGACTGCCAGGTCATTAACCGGATCAAACAAGACAGGGACTATTCAATCATTGACCAGATTGGACCACCGGGTCATTGACCGGGCCGGATAGGGATCGCCCGACACCGGAGAGAGACCGGATTCACCACTAGACGTGAGTGTGCAAATTTATTGCAGCGACATGCAGCATTCACATTTTTTTAATTTAAAAAATTAGTAAAAATCGCTTCGCAAATTCATTAAGGAAAATTGAAACATATCTCATTTTTTAGTTTTGGAAAACGATTTGGTAAACACATTTTTTGTTTTCCTTTCTCTAGTTTTCAAGCGATTTTTTTTGTAAACACATTTTCCATTTTCCTTTATTCAGTTTTATATTTTTCAGTAAAACAGGAAGATATTTATGTTAGTCGATAGGCCCTAAATGTTTGAGAATATGAAACGGCCGGGAAGAGTTGTACCTTCTAGTAAAATGGTTTTATATATTTTAGGTTAATTGAATGTTTTAATAACTCTTTTCCGATAAAAGTTCATAACAAAATCATCAAGAGCTAAAAACTTGAAGCAACATAAAGGCATTATTAAAATAGCAGGACGTATCCACCATGGGACGGAGGCTCATAGTGGATTTTATGAGTGGGACATTAAACTATAAGAAGGTATAATTTTCGACACATGCTGAGAAAGTCCCGAATGGAACAATGTAATTATGTAAAGTTGACCACATGAAACAGTCCGGAAAAGTTGTACTTTCTAGAAAAATGGTTTTAGATATGTTAGGTTAATTTGAATGTAAACGTTCATAAAATCATCAAGAGCTAAAAATTTGAGGCAACATAAAAGCATTAAAATAGCTAAGAACTAAGAAAAAGAATATTATAATATCTTTTCTTTTTTTAACTCGTGACAAGCCCACATGCAGGACGTATTTACCATTGGGCAGAGGCTCCTAGTGGATTTTATGAGCGGGACATTAAACGATAAGAAGGTATAATTAGGGATGGCAACGGGGCGGATCGGGGACGGTTTTACATATAACCGTACCCGCCCCGTTTGGTAATTCCCCCGCCCCATAACCGCCCCATTACCCAACGGGTAATTTTTACCCAAACCATAACCGCCCCAACGGGTAACGGGTATAACCGCGGGTAACCGCGAGTAATCACTTCATTAAATGAGTCATTGATATTTTAATAAAAATACGGAGTAATATTTTAAAATGCGAAAAATGGCATCACCAAGACGACGCTAGACTCAGACGCCACTTTAAAGCTTCATATATCTATAAGACGAGAAAGAATACTTAATCTGAAAAATAATTAATCACAAAAAATTATATAATAATCAAACAAAGCTATTAAGTCCTATTGAGAACTTTCATTCTTACACTATAGTTAGTACATCTATTATCTATATATACACAACGAACACTAAAAATCTCATCTTTTATTAGTTGTGGGACAAATAATAGATAAGAATGTAATAAAATATAACTAAAAATAAACGGGGCGGGTACGGGGCGGGTAATGGGGCAGGCATGCATAAAACCGTAACCGCCCTGTTACCAGTAAAAACAAAACGGGTATTCCTCGCCCCGTACACATTACCCGGTCAATGCGGTTTTCCCCGTTTTGACCGGGGTGGTTCGGTGCGGATATCCATCGGATCGGTCACAATTGCCATCTCTAGGTATAATTTTCGACATGTGCTTAGGAAAACAAAATGTTGTGAGTTAAGGAATCCGGTAAAATCTGGTAGAACGGCAAATATTTGACCGTGTTCCGAATGAAACAACGTAGGGGTTTAAAAATATGGAACAGCCCGGAAGAGTTGTGCTTTCTAGTAAAATGGTTTTAGATATTTTAGGTTAATTTGAATGTTTTGGGTTGTTTTACTTGGACTGAAATTTGTGGGTCTGATCTGGTCTGTTTAAGTGTGGTTTGAAAGTGAAAACAGTTCAAGTAAAAACATCTTTATTTTGAGATCTTTTCTGGCAAAAGTTCATAAAATCGTCAAGAGCTAAATACTTGAAGCATCATAACGGCATCAAAGTTGTATTATAGTATAAGTATTTGTCAAAACATTTTTAGACCAAACTAACGCTGTAGCCAATCGGATGGAGTTGTACGCGCCCTTCCAAAATGTCAAGCGTTTCGAATCCCCCTACAGCTCCACTTTGTTTTATTTTTATGCTTTTTTAAAACTGTTTAATTTGGATTAAATTGATCTAATCTTACTAGATCATATCATCATAGATCGAATTTAATCAGGACTCAAACGTAGTAGGCCATACCGTATTTGCATTTTATAGTAATGAAGTACATGCATAATATCAAATAGAAGCAATTTAGATCAGACTAATATAGAAGCAATTTAGATCAGATTCAATAGTAGGCCATTCAGATTTAGATTACTAGATCAGAAAATTCCAATCTATAATGTTGGTCTGAAAGGTTTTACTTGCACATCATATGTGAAACCTATTTGGCATAAAAATACTCATGAAAAGGGATTGTCTTCCATCTGGCATCTCTCTCTCAATCCTTCCATAGTCGCCGTCTACACACCATGTCCCGTATGAATTTCGGAATATCCAGTACTTGGATCCATCCTCCTCCCCGTAGCCCATAATAAGAACAACATAACGTTTGATCTTATCCTTGTCATTCTTCCTTGCCTCCTTGTAAATCTGCTCAAATAAAGAATTTGGGTATTAGGTGTAGACTAATACCTTATAAATCTGGTCTATAAATTTTAAGTGCATGTATTGATCTAATGTCTTCTACCGTATAGTCAATCATGTCTCCGAGTTCTGGTGTATACTCGAGAACCTCAACAATGGGGTGCTTCCGGACTAGTCCAACTATTTCCTGATCACGGACTTTCAACTTTGGGTCATTTCGTTCATTTTCGTTGTCTAAAGCGTAATAATCAGAAATAGAGAGACGTTCGATGTCTTTAGAGAGACGTTCGCTGCCCTTCACTTTTTCTAGAGTTGCTCTTTTTCCACTGAACAGATAGTCAGCCAGATAGGCAATTCCGTTATCTTTAACACAATTGAAGGCCCTCGCAGTGTTCCCAAGGGAACCATCTTTGTTTTGAGGACACTCATCAATGAGCGATTGAGGAGAGAGGATTACTTCAGCAGCCTCTCCCCTCTCTTTGCGCTTTATATTTTCTTGAGCTTCAATGCATGCGGCCGTTTGTATGGCCCAACATACTTTATTACGTTTTTTATTCAAAATTGGAGTTCGTATAACATCTTCGGTGCGCCAATCCCACTCTTTAGGCAGTTCATTTACTGCCTTGCTGCTTGAAGAAGATATCCTACTGTCGAAGTGGCTGTCATGAAGTTTTAAACTGATAGCGTTAAACAATATCATACATGCTCTAAACTGAATAAACATCTGGGTCATAAAGGTTACCAATTTATTGGTCTAAACTAGCAGTTTAAACAATATCATTTATTCAACGAAACGCAACAGAAATTTGTAATATATCTAATTTCTGCCAAGTCAGTCTCCCCCTTTCCTCCCTCCCATTCTTATAATAAAATGAAAGGGCCAGCCCAACTCAAGACTTACATGGCCGGATGGCCCAGAACCCTAATTATTACACAATCACAATTATTTACTATAATTCCATCATTAATGTTGTTGTTATTATTATTATTATTGTTTTCTGCCCATGTTCATATCAAAGTTACTGCATCATCTGCAATCACGAATTCAGCTGTCTCAGTTTGTGGGTGAGGATATATTGTTAGTTCACACACGTTTAGCAGCAAAAGATTTCCTGTGATAGCCTAAAATCAATTTGAATATAAAAGTAAGAATGCAAAATGGAACTTCCGAAAACAAGTCAAATTGAAATTGAAACGCTATGTGATTAGAACATATCACCAAGAGTTTATCTACGAGCAGTAGGGTTGAGGGATAAACAGAGAGAACATTTTTTGCATTACCAATAAAATTTTAGACTGTAGGATTCATTAGAACTCCCATTTTGATCAATCTAAATAATACTCCCTCCGTCCCAAAATTAACTTCTCACTTTCCTTTTCGGGCAGTCCCGAAATTAACTTCACACTTTAAAACTTTCCTTATTTGGCAAATAATCTACATAAAAAAAAGTGTCAAACAGTGCACTCCACAATAAAGTCAAATTTATTTTCTTAAACTATGTGAAGTCAAACTATGAACTTAATTACGGAACGGAGGGAGTAGCTTTGAAGCCCATTTCCTAAGACTGCAACGCTATGAGCAGAAGTAAGGAAAGCAAGGTTCGAAGTAAAACACAGCAGCCCGAGAGAGTGTATTAGTAATGCCAAAATTGTTTTATTTATATTTATCTATTCTTAATCATAAATAAATAACAGTAAAGAGTGTTTTTGCATCAGATTTTTCATATGTATTTTACATTACACATATATGAAGAAAAGAGTGTAAGAAAAAGATATAACTATGACAGGGGAGACTCTAGTGCCTGTGAGAGCAAGAAATGGAGAGACAACACACCCAGTGAGTTGCGGTTGTTTTACAAGAGAGGGAGCTGAGAGAGATGCAGCTGATGCAACTGTGGAGAAAACGTAGCTGCAGCTGCAAAACACGGCAGAGCCTTAGCTAGGTTGTGTTAGTGATGGACTAAGATGTTGGCCCGTTTATCTAGTTGGACTGAATTCTAATTGGATAGTCCAAACAATTTGTACTCTGCATTACCTGTTGTAAAATTATGGCCAAATTCAGATCATGTAAATTTTAAAACAAATAAGTATTTCATTGTTTAACTCAAATAAATAGAATTAACTAAATTTTAAATTTTCATTGACTTTTCATGCAAGACTTTAGACATTTTTTTAGAAAACTATATTTTAATATTAATACAAAACTCATCAAATAGTGCAAATCATACCCAAATTTGCGACCTAAATTCCTACTTGACTCGTAAGTCATCATAACTCATAAACCATAACCTGAAAATATTCTTACTCCTTGTCAAACATGATTTTAAATTCATCCAACCTATCTCTAGATTTCAAATCTTATGTTACTGATTCAAAATTTGTTAAGAAATTAATTCGGAACTCCGGATGCATAATAAAGAGAAGAAATGTCCAGAAATACATTTTCTAAAGAGTGTCGTCACATGAGGTGTAAAGGTTTAGCCGTTTAGGGTTTGTCCCCTTCGAATTCATGGATTTCATGCTCGTTACTTGAGCTTACGGTACGAAGAGGATGCGCTTACGGTACAAGATGAAATCCATGAATTCGAAGGGGGCAAACCCTAAACGGCTAAACCTTTACACCTCATCTGACCACACTCTTTAGAAAAGGTATTTCTGGACATTTCTTCTCTTTATTATGCATCCGAAGTTCCGGACTAATTTCTTGACAAATATTGAATTAGTAACATAAGATTTGAAATCCAGAGATGGGTTGGATGAATTTAAAATCATGTTTGACAAGGGGTCAGAATATCTTCAGGTTATGGTTTATGAGTTATGATGACTTACGAGTCGAGTAGGGATTTAGGTCGCAAATTTGAGTATGATTTGCACTATTTGATGAGTTTTATATTAATATTAATTAAAATACAACTTCCTTAAAAAATGTTTGAACTCTGAAGTCTTGCATGAAAATTTAAAATTTAGTTAATTCTATTTATTTGAGTTAAAAAATGAAATATTTATTTGTTTTAAAATTTACATGATCTGATTTTGGCCATAATTTTACAACAGGTAATGCAGAGTACAAATTGTTTGGACTATCCAATTAGAATTCAGCCCAACTAGATAAACGGGCCAACATCTTAGTCCATCACTAACACAGCCTAGCTAAGGCGTTGCCGTGTTTTGCAGCTGCAGCTACTTTTTCTCCACAGTTGCATCAACTGCATCTCTCTCAACTCCCTCCCTTGTAAAACAACCGCAACTCACTAGCTATGTTGTCTCTCCATTTCTTGCTCTCACAGCCGCTAGTCTCCCCTGTCATAGTTATATCTCTTTCTTACGCTCTTTTCTTCATATATGTGTAATGTAAAATACATATGAAAAATCTGATGCAAAAACAATCTTTACTGTTATTTATTTATTATGATTAAGAATAGATAAAAATAGATAAAACAATTTTGGCATTACTAATACACTCTCTCGGGCTGTTGTGTTTACTTCAAACAATTCTGCTCATAGCGTTGCAATCTTAGGAAATGGACTTCAAAGTTACTCCTTCCGTACCGTAATTAAGTTCACAGTTTGACTTCACACAGACTAAGAAAATAAATTTGACTTTATTGTGGAGTGCACTGTTTTGCACTGTTTAAACACTGTTTAACACTTTTTTGATGTAGAAGTTATTTGTCAAATAAAGAAAGTTTTGAAGTGTGAAGTTAATTTCGAGACTGCCCGAAAAGGAAAGTGAGAAGTTAATTTTAGGACGGTGGGAGTATTATTTAGATTGATCAAAATGGGAGTTCTAATGAATCCTAGAGTCTAAAATTTTATTGGTAATGCAAAAAATGTTCTCCCCCTCAACTCTACTGCTCGTAGATAAACTCTTGGTGATATGTTCTAATCACATAGAGTTTCAACTTTCAATTTGACTTGTTTTCGGAAGTTCCATTTTGCATTCTTACTTTTATATTCAAATTGATTTTAGGGTATCATAGGAACTCTTTTGCTGCTGAACGTGTGTGAACTAACAATATGTCCTCACCCACAAACTGAGACAGTCGAATTCGTGATTACAGATGATGCACTAACTTTGATATGAACATGGGCAAAAAACAACAACAACAACAATAATAATAATAATAATAATAATAATAATAATAATAATAATAATAATAATAATAATAATAATAATAATAATAATAATAATAACAACAACAACAACAACAACAACAACAACAACAACAACAACATTAATGATGGAATTATAGTAAATAATTGTGATTGTGTAATAATTAGGGTTCTGGCCCATCCGGCCATGTAAGTCTTGAGTTGGGCTGGCCCTTTCATTTTATTATAAGAATGGGAGGGAGGAAATTAGTCCCGAAGAGTCTCATCTATTTTATGTTTCTTCTCTTTCTTGTCTATCAGTTATTGTAATACTGAGATTACGATTAATATATTACAAATTTCTGTTGTGTTTCGCTGAATAAATGATATTGTTTAAACTGTTAGTTTAGACCAATAAATTGGTAACCTTTATGACCCAGATGTTTATTCAGTTTAGAGCATGTATGATATTGTTTAACACTATCAGTTTAAAACTTCATGACAGCCACTTCGACAGTAGGATGTCTTCTTCTTCAAGCAGCAAGCCAGTAAATGAACTGCCTAAAGAGTGGGACTGGCGCACCGAAGATATTATACAAACTCCAATTTTGAATAAAAAAACGTAATGAAGTATGTTGGGCCATACAAACGGCCGCATGCATTGAAGCTCAAGAAAATATAAAGCGCAAAGAGAGGGGAGAGGCTGCTGAAGTAAGCCTCTCTCCTCAATCGCTCATTGATGAGTGTCCTCAAAACAAAGATGGCCTTCGATTGTGTAAAAGATAACGGAATTGCGCTGACTATCCGTTCAGTGGAAAAAGAGCAACTCCAGAAAAAGTGAAGGGCGGCAAACGTCTCTCTAAAGGCAGCAAACGTCTCTCTATTTCTGATTATTACGCTTTAGACAACGAAGACGAACGAAATGACCCAAAGTTGAAAGTCTGTGATCAGGAAATAGTTGGACTAGTCCGGAAGCACCCCATTGTTGGGGTTCTCGAGTATACACCAAAACTCGGAGACATGACTGACTATACGGTAGAAGACAGTAGATCAATACATGCACTTAAAATTTATAGACCAGATTTATAAGGTATTAGTCTACACCTAATACCCAAATTCTTTAATTGAGCAGATTTACAAGGAGGCAAGGAAGAATGACAAGAACATGATCAAACGTCATGTTGTTGTTATTATGGGCTACGAGGAGGAGGGTGGATCCAAGTACTGGATAATCCGAAATTCATACGGGACATGGTGGGGAGACGGCGGTTATGGAAGGATTGAGAGAAAGATGCCAGGTGAAAGACAATCCCTTTTCATGAGTATTTTTATGCCAAATAGGTTTCATATATGATATGCAAGTATAACCTTTCAGACCAACACTATAGATTAGAATTTTCTGATATGGTAATTGAAAACTGTATGGCCTACTGCGTTCGACTCTGATTTAAATTCCTTCTGTATTAGTTTGATCTAAATTGCTTCTGATATTATGCATGTGTACTTTATTGCTATAAAATGCAAATACGGTATGGCCTACTACGTTTGAGTCCTGATTAAATTCGATTTATGATGATATGAACTAGTAAGATTAGATCAATTTGATCCAAATAAAACCAAAAGATATTGTCTAGTTCAGTATGATCCTTTCTTGTACAATCTGAAATGGTTGGATATGTTATTATGTGCTCTATTCATTAATTAATATCCTACATATTGCTTATATAGTTTTTATAATATAATAAAAAGA